TTACACTTGAGATGGACCAAAGTATGTTTTTGGATGTTCAAAGTTTGGTCACTACTGAATGGCTCAGATTCAGAGTTTTGATGAGCACAGCAAGAAAATTTAGAGTTCTGATCTGCTGTAATGAATATATTAATGCAAAGTGGTTATGAGAAAGAAGAAAAAGAGCTCTAAGGAATTAGTTGATACTTATTAATTTATACTGAGTAGTCACTCATTTTCTGGTGAATCTAAAGCACTGGCACCAGCTGGCTACTTTTTGGAACAACTCTTTTTTGGGCAAGGAGTGAGTGCATGGCTCTTTATTAGAAATTGGAAAACCCAGCAACCTTCAGAAATGGACAGCGGACCATCTGTACCTTTCTGAAGGAAGCAAAGCATTCCCTGAACTCAGAACAAGCAGGCAGATGGGTCAACTGAAAATTTCATGATTTCCAAGTCAATCACTACTGTCAGGACTAAAAAAGAAGGATAAATTACACAGAAATGAGAACACATAAAATCACTGAGTACAAAGAAACTTCTCAGATTCCAGATGTTTTGAATTTTCTATGTGTTTAAAAAATAAAAAAGTCTTCTGAAACCCAAAATAGTTATAAATATTTATCTACCAAACCTGAAATTTATTGCACAAGTTTTGCTGGTATATGCTTTTAAGACCTTATTTTGGTCAAATGCCAAAAATAAAAGGTGGTCTACAAAGACACCTGTTGAGAAAAAGAAATGCTGTAAAAGAGAGACAGAAGCTTCTGTAGGATCACCAGGTCAAATCCTCAGGGGAAGGTCAGGAACTGACAAAGCAGATACTTGAGCTGAGACATTTATATTGCACTGCAACTGAAAAAGAAGAGCCCTGACCAGCTACTGGAAATACCACAGCTGTTGTAGAGATGCTTAAGGCTTCCATAGGCTGAGCTTAATCACAGTTGAAAAATTCTCAAATTTCTTCTCTTTTGATTCTTTCAGTTATGTTCATTTTACTGCAATGCCAGAGCTGTAGAGCTGCCAGAATGCTGGAGTTTTAAAAACTTGCTTTTGGGTGAAATTAACTTCATATACCATATGTTTTATTTACACTAAAAAATAACAGAATAAAGGCTACTAGATAAACCTGAACTGACACAAAAAGCCCAGCCAACTCCTACCACTTTGTTTTTGATAGACTTCCACGTTAAATCTGTTAAATGAGAGAAAATAAGTCTTGATGTAGAAGTCTTCTTTTGTTTGTCTCTTTAGCAATGCTAATAAAGAAGAAAGAAACTGGAAAAGCAGCCATCTGACAGAACACCCTGATTAGAAAACTTCATGCATCAATTTTACATTACTTCTTATGCTAGGAAAAAAAAAATACTATCAGCGTGTCTATTTGGTTTGGCTTTATGCTTCTTAAAAATAATCAGGTGGAAGACCAGAGCCAGATATTACAGTTATTTGATGCAGGCAATACAAAAGAGCCCTCAAACGTAGCCTTGCCTTGTCACTGCTCAGAATAGAAAGAATGAAAGCTCAACGCTTTGCCCTTCACATAGGTGCTCTTCCCAAGCTGTCCAGGAAATTTATTATATATAATTACACTGGAGTTTCATAATATGACAGCAAGAATGGAGGAAGGAAGAAGAAAGGGCTCATGCTACACCACCTTTACTGCACACGTGCCTACACAGCCTCAGTCTCTCTACCTGGAGAAGCAGCAGAAATAATGAAATAAGAAGTACTGACAAAGACAGAGAAATACAGCAAAACAATAAAGCACATTTTTCCAATTTCACACAACAGCAGTTTTCACATTCTTCCATACAAAGAATATTTCTTCATACTCAAACCCATTTACAACCCTTCTCTTTTTTTCCTGGAGCATTCTTTGTCTTTACTAACATTGGAACAGGAGTCAGAGACTTCTAACAGCAATCTGAAGTTCTCTGCAGATCGTGATACTGCTTGTCTTATGGTATATTGAGACACTATCTTGACAGGTACAAAACTCAGATGCATGATGTTTAAGGCATTTTCCGCTACTAAAGTCAACATCAGCTGCTCTGCAGCCTGTTATCATGGAAAGATGTAGGAGAAATTTCACCGACCCCTTCTTTTATGAAGCAATTCTATAAGCACTGTCATATTCTGACACTTCATTCTGAAATCTGAAGATAGTGCATCTGTACCACAATGCAGCAATGTTGAGGACGATTTACTTGGATATTTAACTGAAATATCCAAGGATGATTAACTTGGATATTTAATCTGAAATTCAACTTGGGAGAAGAAGTAGGAAAAATTTTCTCAGTCCACTTCAATTTTTCAGTGGAAGAAAAGTAACTTCTACTCACCCAACCAGCTCAAAAGATTCTTTTTCCCACACCACAGGGTTTGTGTATTTAGCCTCTTCACTCCAATCCCAAGCAGCTGGATTATTTTATTATTATTATCACAAGTTCCAGCATTATTATTTCTAAAGTGAGATTGTCTGCAACAACACTGCAAAAAATGCCCATGTTCTTTTTCTTATATTTACACATTTTTCTAGTTCTCTTTTACTTAAGAAGTTATGACAGTTTATTTCAACTTTAAACAGAAGTAGAAAGAGTTAAAACTCTGCATTTGATCACTCTATTTGTTATACAAAGCTCTTAACAAGGATAAAAGGAGCCATAGCACTATACAGCTTTTATAGTTTTGGTGGAGCCTTACATAATAACTAATTAATCATGGTCTTATAAACCCCTTGATAACTGTGTTATACATTAGCAGTAAGTCCAGCTTATGTTCTTGACTTTTGATACCATGTCTTCCCAGGAACTTGGATTTCTCACTGGAATTCCTTTCACTGTTATTGTTAGTATGTATTAAGCTACCTTCAGAATTAGAATGAATGAAGACACTGAAAACTTAAGTCTTGGAGAAAACAGCTGCTAGGTTTTGGGAGATTGCAGTGATATCTTTTTACCTACTGAGCAGAGAGCTTTTTCGGTTTACACGTGGCAGATATACCTCACTATCCTCACAGAATACCCTAGAAAATCTAATAAAGATTAAAACAGTAAAGTTTCAACAGGAGTTAAATAGGACTCTAGAGAAATAACTTTAAACTCTAATAGCCTTTTCATAGAGATCTAAAGACTGTACAAGTACTTTTAAAAAGCATCACACTAGCTGTTACATATTTCCCATTTAAAGCAGGATGATACGGCTGCAACTGAAAAGGTCTGAACAGCCAGTCAAGGACAACGAGAAGAAGCTAAGCCAAATTCTATTTCCAGGCATTTTCAAGCGGGAAGAAGTAGTGTTCGATAAGTGCTAAGCACTACCAAAGGCACACATTTGCATGTGCACGCATAGATAGCTGTATGCATGCAGAGAAATACATTCACACTGAAGTTTGCCCATAACAATGTCACTTTTAGAATCAGCAATTTCAGTAACACTGCTTTCAAGTGCCTTTATTGTCTTCAGATCCCACAGCAAACCTCTCCAAGAAAACAGCTGGACCATGGACAAAGCACTGGGCCTTCAGGCTTTGAAGGAAATAATATTTTCAGGCTGTCCTCGTGGAGCCTTCAAAACATGCATGAGTCCATCACTGATGCATTCACTCATTTTCTAAACTTGCCAAGATGTCTGTGAGGCTTTCGTGCATTGCACAACATAACCTTCACCCTGTGCTTTAAGGTCATTAGCTGGAACACAGAACTCCAAAACTATTTAATTTCCATAGAAGCCGCAAAATAAGGGCTGGTCTGTTGTCACCACGGGTCTTTCTTCCTATAAATCCAAATCTCTGTATACAAAGTTCACAGCTAGATTATGAGAAAAGAAGTTTTTTCTGTAACATTTTTTAATCTGTCTTCTCCCAAACACACACACACTCATATTAAGCACTATAAGTGAAATTGGAATAAGCATTCTGAAACCTGATAATGGTTTCATTGCATACAAGCAGGTTTCTTACTACTAGTGATTAATTTCTCACCAGCTAATTTGCAATTACTCATAATACTAATGATGTGCATTGGATGATATTTCATTGGTAATGTTTCTCAGTAAACTCTGCAATTACAGAAGGTGCCCTGAAAACAACATTCAAATTGTCTTCCACCTCCAGCTGTTCAAGGTAAGCAGTGTACATCTACCAACAGAAACATTTCTAATACTCACTAAAAATTTAATCTTTTGTCTGAAATATACAGGCAAATCAGTTTGGAATGGCCCTCCATGATATACTATCAAGCACTTAAAGTAAGATCATTATCATACCTTACCAGTCACTATGTTCCACATATGTATTGTCTCTGAAATGAATCTGCTACCACATTTTGTCACTTGGTTTCTAATACACACGACACCAGGCACACAATTCTTTTCTTGAGTGAGACACAACAGTCAGCTCTCCTGACTACTTGAATGAAATATATTGTTAACAGAATTTAGAAAGATGCATTATTTCATATATTACAATCTTCAGGCAACAAATCCCAAAGATATGAACAAAACTGACAGAAAAATGAAGTACATACATTATCATAAAATTACTCTGAGAGACTACGCAGCCAACTGCTAAGACCTCTGTAACAGCATTTTATTTTGATCAAAGTGCATCGAAGGAAGCAATCAAGAGAAACAGGACAATTGAAAGAAAGGACTCAGAGATTGCATATGCCAGCTGAACAGCTTTCTAGTATGGCAAATTGAGATGCAGTATACTGCTAAAGGATTATATATATTTTTTTAATTATAGTGAAAAATTAATTTTGTATGCAAGAATGCAGAAACTCAACACAAAACATGTACAATGTCAAACAAGCAGTGCATTGCATTTATGCACTGTAATCACTGAGATTCTTTTTAAAAATATCTCAAAGATTTTGTTTTATTTTAAGGAAAGTCTTACGTTTTGTAGGCATCTGAGAAACAGGTAAAAGGTCCTTTTGGCAATAATAAAGCAAAACCAAAAAACAGAAACATATTTTTGGAGTAATATAAGCTATCATAAATATATGATGAATTACCGGATAGCCATTTCGCCCTGGTAGACCCTGGTTGAATGAGATGAAATGGTATGACACACATTAACAACACAGTCATGACATATGACATAACAAGCATGCAGAGTACATTACTGGCAAATTAAAAAGTGCACATCCATAATTTTTTTTTGATATGTGATGATATTTCAAGCCAACAGATGAAATCGGTACTACATGGTGAAAAAGGGGGCTTTGACAATGGAAATCATATGTTTTAAATTAAACATTCTAGTTAAGAAGCTACTGACTACTTCTGATGCTCAATGACATTGCCTTTGCTATGAAGAGATCATCCCTATAGACTAAAGGGCAACATGTGGTTAAAGAAAAAAAAAGATTTAGTGCTTAGGCAGTAAGGTCATAAATACATAGGCTACTGCTAGATCATAGGTACCAAAGAAGAAACTTGAGAATGCTATAGCAGAGCATAAAAAAATTGCAAGCCCCAGCCTTTGACCGGTCCCACACATGATACTCAGTAGTCATGTACCAGGAAAATAAACAGAGCACTGCAGTACCATTTGAAAATACAGCATGCATCTAAACTCTGTGGAATACTGTGTGGGATATACAAATATTTGCTATTTTAAATGAAAAAGATTACCACAGCATTCCAGGTGAAAACAAGAATTGAGTTTGCAACAGTTGCTCCTAGCCACACTGTGTCTATGAGATTCAAGAAGTGAATTAGCAACAGAAACTACACTTTAAAATGCCTTGTAGCAGCTTAAAACTTTACTGACTTTCAGCAAGATGAAGTACTGTAAGGCAGTTTTGTATGTATAACTTGGAATTTTAAGTCAGACACTTTTTAAGAATAATTCAGCCTTCTGAGCTATTTCAGGCTTGTATTAATGTTGTCATGAGCTAGACTTTTTTTTTTTAAGGGGACCTACAGAGTCAAAGACATTCATAATGAGCCACATAGTGAACTCTTGCTATGTTGTCTTGCTACAGGAAAACCACTTGCATCATGATTTATGGTTATTCTTTCTGTTTCACGGGAAGACTGAAAAAAAAAAAAAAAGTTGAGGAAGGCAATGTTTCTTTCAAATAGACTGCACTGTTATGCATTAAGCCTGGCTTTTCATTGATGGCTTGTTAAATGAACTTGCCACTATGAACTCCTGAGAACACGGTCAAAATCTTTCAAGGATAAGTATTATCACTGCTCAGTACATACAGCTTGCACTAAAATCAATAGGTCACAGCAGAAGTTCAGCATATTAATTCACTATTTTCAAGCTGACACTTTCATACCGTATGGTGAACATGGATGGCATGACAAATACCAAATGTTTGAGATTCATGTGTTTACTCCTGTTCTTCAAGTCTGACTTTTGAGCTACCCTGGGAATGTGCCACAAAACAAACAAACAAAACAAAAAGCTGACAAACTGTTTTCTTACCAACAAGAGCAGCACGAAAGTCAACCAAGTTACTAAATGGAGCAGTCTTATTTAACATTCGTTTTGCACAAGGACTTACTGGCCTCAGTAACAATTTCACCACAATGAGCCTGTCAGCCCGTGTACCTCTGAAGAGCAAGGAGTCTTCACCCCAAGAGTTTGTGACAACTGCAGAGGAAGTTGCTACCCAGTACAAGGCAGAATAACTGAGTCTGGACTTCAGACAACACACTTGCACATTTTTATCCTGTAGCAAAATATTTTTTCCCAAGTTATAAGCAAAATGAGCGTAATGTACTTACATGGAATTGTGGTCCAAACTGCTATCTGGAGCGCTGAATGTAAAGCTTTATAGTTTTAGAGACATTTTTCTTAAGGAACTTTCTGACTAAATTATTCGGTTCCAAAATAATTAGTGAATGTTTATGCTGTGTAAGTATAAATATCAAAATTCCCTCTTGATGATACATGATCAGTTTATCGTGGTGATAACAAAACAGGATCTAACATAGATTTCTCCCTGATTCTGGAAGAACCAACAATGTATCACTGTACTTACAGGAGGTCCTGTGGAGGGGGTAAGGGGGAAAGAGAGGGGGGAAAAAAAGACAAAAAAAAAATAAACTGTAAGCTTATGAAGTTTTTAAAGAAAGACACATATAAATAAATCCAAACACAAGGCCTCAGGATTGTATGCGAACAATGCTGCTAATACACTGTACACATTTTCCCATTCAAGTCCCTTTTGGTTTGGTTGGGCTTTGCAACTTGTAAATACAGCTACTGCTCAAATGCATGCTCTTACCTTACCAAGGAAGCAAATTCTTCAGCTACGGTCATGCAATCTTATGCAAGTTGCTTCTCCATCCACTTCCATGCAATTTCATGCCAGGCCAAAAATACCAGCCATGGACTCATGACTCATTTCATCAGACTCCACACAAAGCATATGTAACCACATCACTAATTTCAGTTAGCCACACAGTTGGGCATTTCATCACAGCTTGGATGCAAAGTCGCACCAAGTACCCTTGGCATTTATCCTTGGCATCTAGTCAAGACATACGTGCACCAGCATCTTCCAGCCTTCCACTTTGCCTACAAGGGCAGGTTTCAGTGGCCACCTGACAGTGCTGAACTTTCTTTTCATCACCTTCCTTTCTCAAGGCACACATATAAAATGTTCCCTGTTAAAATGTCACACTTCATGAAGTGATATTTGCACATTTTTTCAATTATTTAGACTCAAAGACTTTTGTATAGCAGTTCTTGGAAACATCATCAAAGGGCTACAAATCAAATCTACTATTTCAGTCTTATTAAGTTGAGCAGCTGCAGCTCCCAAATCAATGGCATTTCATTAGCTTTTATGCCTCTCTCTAATTTCTGAATAAAGTGAAGTGCAAAAGGAGTATAAAACCACAGCAGCTGTACTTGGAGATTGCTTTTAATATTGATAGCCTTTTGTTTTTAACAATGCAGTTTTATTGTCCTGTAACTAAGGCAATTTCTTTATACTGGTAAATATTCTTAAATGGCATTTTAAATTGCAGGTCTGTTTTTAAACAAGAAAGATCAATTTCCTTTGTTAATAGTTTAATGTGTGTTTATTTGAGACATAAAACGAATCAACAAGCATACTGCAAAGTAATTGCCAGGATCATCTGTAAGACAATCTTTAACCACAGAATTCCCTTCTGTAGCGCAGCACTTTTCTCTGAAGTAAATACTTAATCCAACCTCGAATGGAAACATCAAGGTGATTTATAATAACCTTTGGCAGGGTTTGGTTTCAGTTTTGTGATGCAGGAAAATATGGAAATAGTTTTTAAGAGCCAGATAAGTAAACATGTACAAGATTAAGGAGGGCTACATAACGATTTTACAGAGACCAAGCTGATTGGAAGAATTCCCTAACTGGCAAAACAGACAATACAGCCAAGGAGATTAGAAATGCTCATTTTCTCCTGCATCAATTCTAGAAAATTCACCTTCACTGAAGACTCAGTCCTGAAACATAATCAAGAGTTCAAATTCCCAGGAAGAGGCACTCAGCATCTCACAATACTGTCTCAAATGAAATTTCAAGCTCTACGTCAACACTCAGATTTTATTTCTCAACAGCCAGCTCCCTGGTACAGGATAACAAACCACCAAAAGTTTTTCTTATTTACATAACAACTAACTTGCTATTTGTTTCTAGTAAACAGCAATTTCTCTCACACTGAATACTCTATTTGTCACATTATTTCCCTGAACACTGACACTCTTAACATCCTTCTTTCCTTCTCAAACTGTTCGTCTCAAACCAAGCAGGCCTGATGCAATTCTGACTTATAGTATCCCCCCAGCTGCTGACTAACATGGAGTTACTCGGATTTGTGCAAGACTTAGACGACACAGAAATGGTTTGACAATTACCGGTAATGTTGCCAATGGCACCAAGTCAAACATTATTAAGTGTGACTACAAAGTAATGACACTCAAAACCAGATAACTATCTGGAAGGCCAACAGGTATATGCCAAGGGTCACAAATTTCTATAAGAGAAGCTTCAGAACCCTCTTTCAGAGCACACAAGCAATAAAAATAAAGATGAAGGCATGCTGGGTATGCATCCTCCCAAAACCACACAGACATCAAACAGCAATGGATCATACGAAAGTGAAAACTTACCAGTCTCTCCTCTTCTGCCCCGCTTACCTCTTTTCCCTGGAGGACCTGAAAAGAAGATGGTGTGTTGTAACTTTCTTTCTTGAAATTACAACATGTAGAATATTGTTTGTGCTTGGATGTAAAGCTTTAAACAGATCCATTACACATGTGGTGCTCATGAATATGTGTACAAGGCAGTCAGCAAAAGGTCCAGAGACTTGGCTGAGCAAGGGCAACAGATTATCAGAGTAACATTCAGGAAATTGAAGATAAAATGGAGAACAACATCACCCACTACAGGCTCTCAGAAAAAATATCTGGGAGAAGCTGTAGAGGTCACCCCGTTCGTTCTTCTTTCTCAAGGCAAAAGTCAACTACATCAAAAATATTACTGTGACTTCCACGGGCATTTTCCCCCTAGTATTTCACTGTTCTGACGACAAGAACATTTTTCTTTATGTTCAACTTGCGGCACAGAATTACATCAATTCTTCTGCTGTCCACCAGCGACCTCAGCAAAGAAATGATTCCTTTTCTTTCCACAAAAACAAAGCAACATAAACCAAAGTCTTTGTATTCATTTGAATCGCTACACCATTCCATCAATCTTCTTAAACCTATCTTATCACAGAGCATTAAATTTCATTTAGTTATTACCGCATTAAGCAAAATTGGCATGTATTTATTTATAAGAGCACTTCCTCTGGAAAAAAGCATCCAGCCTTTACTTGAAAACATCAAAGAACGATGAAGAAACCATCACCTGGCTCCCCACCCCTCAAACACTAACATTGTATTTGTCGCTAGACATGCTTGTCTAAGATGCTGTGCTTCCAGTTTATAACATCTGTTTGCCTTAACACACCAGCTTGGTCCTTGTTTGGTTTTTGCTAAGCAATCCTTTATTAATCATACTCCTTTTTCCACAAATATTTACATACTACAGTCAGTCTTCTGCAGCCTCTAAAGAAAAATAAAATATTTTTCGTCCCTCATTTCTGCACTTGTCTTCAGACTGCAGCATCCCTAAACTGCAGGCATGAGTGGCACATTCTTCCTTTCTTCTTGGTGTCCCTGACACACTGCTCCTGGAAGCGCAAGGAAAGCACACTTTCACTTCTCCTCATACAACTAGGAAGAAAGGCAACAGCTGTGGGGTTGAAACAGGACTGAAATACTGCTGATAGCATTTCACAGCCACAGGTGAGAACCTCAAACCTACAAGAGAGGCAAGCACACGGGCAACTTTCCAAAAGCAACAAAGCATGCGGGAGCACAGGTACCGCTGCTGTGGCTGTGTCATGCAGGTTGCAATAGAAAGTAGGTGCACACGTGGGCTTGTGCAAATAATTAAGGTATAGTCACAGTAGTTAGAATATTTTACAAATCATTTGAACTATCATCCCCTTTATTTTAAATGCACATGAATTCTAAACCTCCCCCATTAATATATATTGCAAAGTAATCTGGTTTAAAAGACAAAGATGCTGAAAATATACTTGAGTGATTAGTTTGCCAGGGAAATAAAAGGATAGTAGTTAAAACAAAGAAAACAACAACAACAAAAACACAAAGGAGAGGAGCAGCTCTTACACTGAAAGTAGAGAGGTTTGCTCCTATCAGAACATTATGTCTCACTAAAATACTTTTTTCTTGTTCTAACTACAGTGCTTGCATAATGTAATAAAAGCTTACGGCAACAACATTATAGAAAGCAGGAACAGCATGGGATATTCATTATCATCAGCATACCAACCAGATGAGAATATTTTGCTATTACACGATGGAAAAACAGGAAAAAAATATCATTTCGTTGTAGAGAACCTGTACCTTGCTCCTGGAAGTCTCTGGTCTCTGCAAGAGATCTGTATGGAAACGTGTTGCACAGATAACAACCTGTTTCATGTAATAAGTTTCCACACACACTTTTTTTCAACGCTTTTTCCAATTCTTAACACTGAAACACGTCCCTGCACAGCAGGAGGTTTCCCTGGCTGCCCCTAAGCTGATGAACACAGGCTGGTCACACACATGGACAAGCAGGACAAAACTACAAGGTTCTTGCCCTGCTAATAACCTTTTAATCTTGATGTCTTTCAGCATATAACAACAAATATTCTCAACTTGTTTTGCAGAATACTATTTCAGCAAAGCTTAGCCATGCTCTAGGTGTGCACTTACACACACATGCATGTCTACTACTGAGTTCTTCCCTGAGAAAACAACAGAACTTGAAAACTACAAAACTTCAGCTGCGGACCAGCACGAGGCACTGGAGCCCCAAACAGAAAACCACGTGGGTAACCTCAAGCTGTGGATTTCAGGAAGAAAGGAGGGAGCTTCATCCAGAAAACCAGATTTCTGTAGAGCATTCAAGTGCCAGTTCAGTAGCTGAGAACATCGTCGGCTAAGGGGCTCTACCTCTGACACCAAGCGCCGATCCTTTCTAAGCCATTATGTCAAGATGACTAGACTCGGATGTGTCCAAATGTTAATCACCAGAAAAACACTTCTTCCTGTATTCCCAAAGTAACCAACAGCACTGAAGCTAGGAAAATCACTCTGGATTTACAGGCACATCCATGAGCTCACTGCACGGCCCCTGACCTCCAGCTCTTCAGGCCAGCCGTACTTGGCAGCTCCTGAGTGACACGAGGCACTTCCCCCTCTCCTGAAAAGCTTTTCTGTTTTTTATTCCTGCACTGTGCAGGGCTCTGTCAAGGCAGCAGCCTTTGTAAACCTTTCAGAAATTGTGAAATGAGAGGTGGATCTTGCCAACTTTTACTGGGTTCGGGGGGCCATTTGAGGAAATAATTTCTCTATATTTATTTTTGCCAGTACAGAACAACGTTTTTTAAGCATTTCATCACAGATGGTTCCAGTTCACAGAAACAGCAATGCTGACATTTAAGGCCATCACTAGATGACCTACTACTTCAGAAAGTACACGAGCTTTCATCTTTTCCTGAACAGGCTGCTTTCTAAATCTTAACTGCAAACATCATCTGTTGCTCCAAGAGTTTCCACTTATCAAAACCCAGGGTATTTTGCTATAAATATTAATTTTCCATCTGTCTAGAGTTTTATAACTTTGCAGTAATTGGAGGCTTTGGTGGAGACTCGCTGGGGCAGCAGACGCAGTGAATAAAGTTGTACCAAGCACAATCTCGTTTTACAAGTCCACACATTTTTACAGCTTGCGCAAGATATACAACCTACCATGTAAATGTTCTGAACCTTCTCACCCAGGATAAAAACCTCTCTAGAATATTACCAGAAGTGTCTGTGCTGAACTAAATTTAATCCAGAGTATTTAAGTAGTAGTTTGTGCAAACATATTTTCATATTAAGAAGAAAAAAAAAAAAAGCTTTCAAAAGAAAAACAAAGGTCGAATCTCAGTGGAGTGAGCTGACTTAATAAAGATTAATAATCCTGAGCAATAGGCAAAAGCTAGTTTATAGTAGCAAAGTTTGCCAATACATTGTTTTCTTAAACTCACTAGATTTACTTATAGGGAATAAAAGAAAAATGCCCAGGGATCAGCTGGTTTTCAATTTTAAATTAGTTAAGCTTCACAATACTAGAAGTTTTTTTTTATTCTTCCAAAAACATTTATGAATTTAATTTTTATGAACAGAAAGTTTAGAAATTATTTTTCCTTCAAAATCAAAAATCAGTACAATCTCTACAAAGAGAATTTTGAAAATTCTTCAATTCTTCAAATTAAATTTGAAAGAAATTAGGGGATTTTTGTTTAAAAAAGCACCAGAACCAGTGATTTATGAAATCTATCTTCTAAAGCGCTACATGTTAGCTACTCAAAATTTTGTCTATCTTACCTTATCTACTCACAATGAACTGTTTAAAAACAAAACAACAACAACAACAACCAAAAAAAACTAGACTTTGGCACTTTATATTTTAACTGAAACATAAACAATAAATGTACCGAGTCAATATTAAGGCTGTAGCAAACAATTCTTCCTCACCTCCTTGAACTCATCAAATTAAACAAAAAATTCCTCTCAATGGTCAGTAGAAATAGCTGTCAGAAAACTACCAACGTTGTACTTCTGAAGAGACCATAGGACAGGAAGAAGAATGTAATTGTTCTCAGGTTTACTGAAACATTTTCAAAAATATTAAGTACAACTATGGTGACATTCATGTCCTGGTAACAGGTTTTCTCATCTTTGCAGTCAGAATTCCCAGATTACAGCTATCCAAGTCAGTAGTGATTGGCACAGACAGATGATTGTCAAATTATTGCTTTGGTCTTGGAGGGGCTGCCTCAATGGGACTTTTCCCTTTTTAAAGGTTTGTGCTCTATGTGCACAGGAGTGCCAGAGGTCTACAGTGGTTCTACTATTTTTATGTTGCTGTATGAGTGATAGTTTTTACCGGAGGAAAGCACAGTATAACTGCACATACTCCATGACATACCCTGCCATATATCGAGGTCACATAGATCAACCACACCAGCTAAGAAATTTTGGAAACAGAGGAACAGATAACATACAGCTTGCCTACATCAAGCTTTGTCTCTATAATTCTCCTGATCTGAAAAAGAATAATCCTATACTGTGGAGATATCTTCAATAATAAAAGTTATGCTATATCAGTCAAGTCCTTCAAAGAAAATCTATAAATTTGTCTATAGAAATATGGGTAGTACAAAAACATTGTTGCACTGACACTGCCTTCATTCTCTCACTTATTATCTATTTACAGCAAAGAAATCCAGCATAAACAAAGTAGCAGAGACTAAAGAGAAAAAAGATTCAGTGGACAAGACCTGCATTTCCTTAATAAGGGCCTGCCAGGTATGACAAAACATCTTGCCATTCAGTCATCAGCTAATCTGGAAGTCAAGCTCATCCTAATTACGCAGGGAAGTACACTGACATTATCAAAGGAAAAGGATTTGGCCATCTCAGGTGATACCAAACTAACAGGTACTCACTGACAGTGCAAGTATGAGCTCCTACACCAAATCAGTGCACCAGCTGACAGATAACAAAGGAGTTCAAAATCCTGTTCCCTGTGTTACTGATGCTCTGGACAT